GTTCTAGAATTGCGCCGCTTGGGGTGGCTACATGTTCAAGCAGCTCTGTTACATTAATTCTGTGTTATTGCTTTTGAAAACTTTAATTCCTCTTTTATCTGGATGTAAATCACTTTCTTTCAGATGATTACTTCTTCTATTGGATGCTGTGCAGCTGGGAGGATTTTTATAGAAACCTTTTTACTTTTGGGCATTTGTTATAATGCGTAACCATGGCGACAAGGTTTTTTTTTAACAACCAGGAGCAGCTGATTAGCATCTCAAAAGCTCAAATACATCAGTTACAGCCCCAAATGAGTTGAAAAGGAGGCACTGTGGTTGAATTTCCATCAACCTGGTGGCTGTGCTTGAGTACCTGACAACCAAGATCATGGAGCTGGTGGGAAACTCAGCTTTTGACAACGGGAGGACCGGGATCATCCCCCGACACCGTAAGCTCTCTGTCCGTGGTGACGAGAAGCTCTTCAGACTGCTGGGAGGAGTGACTATCGCTCAGGGAGGAATTCTACCCAGCAGTCAGGCAGTCCTGCTACCCAGGAGGACCTAGAGGCCCACCAGATCTGACAGCAAGCTGGATCCAGGTGGATGGATCAGTACCTGTGGCCAGATTCGTTGACTCCGCTGCTGGAGATCCTTCCTGCCCACAGCTATCAGCATAACAACTCTTGAATGAAACCAAGATGATTAGCTATGACAACACTTAATTTCTCTCTGGGATTAATAAAGTATTTTTGAATTGAATTGAATATTTCAAAGACTAACTGAGTTATAGTCAATTCTTTGTGTTTGCTGAGGTAGCTGTGGCAGCCATCTTGAATAAAAATGGCTCCAAAAGTTAATCAGTGTTTTGTTCAGGGACCTATCCACTCTTGGTCATGTGACCTCAGTGTGGCGGTTAGAAGCTCTTAAAAGTTCTCGAGTGTTTTATCAATAAGAAAAAATGGCATCTTTGTAAATCATGTTGCCATGGTAACTGAAAATGCCAACAAAAGTAACAGCACACCTCACGGTGCTGAGCCGTTTTGATATCAGATGTGTGGGGGTACATGTTGTGGTTCAGGTCACATTAAAGTCAATAGAAAAGCAAGACTGTTTTCAGGTGGATAATAATAGGTGCTGCTTCAGGCAACCCCCCAAATTACATAAATCAGAGAACTCAGCATTACACATAGGTTAGGACCTATATACAGATTTTGCTTTCATAGATGCATCTTCTGTAGGTAAACAGTTGAAACTTGAAATTATGTTAAGCAAATGTGAGTGGACTTGTGGGTGAGAACAAGACTGAGCACAGTTAACAGCAAATGAAGGTCACAGCCACAGAACGGTCATTCTCTGTGTGTGTGAGTGATACCTGCCCTCTCCTCCTCGTCAGGCTATAGTTAGCAGCCATCGTCAATGAATGTGTCCTCACTACCCTCTGGAATCAATGTTCAGCCACAAGGCCATCGTGTAGAAGATCAATTACATTTCAGAGCAAAATGTAATGTCTGGAAAAGAGGTGTGCAAATTTGTGCACGTGTGTGTGGGTGTGGCAGCGGGACATAAAGTCATGTAGTGTTCCCTACACACACTGAAGTGGGTGCTTTTCATGCCTTAGGAGTATAATCACCTTGAAAACCATCCATTACCGTTGAAGCTAGGCCACAAGCATGGCTGTCATCTAAAATTATGAACGGGGATGGAGGGGAGTGAAAGCTGTGTGTGTGTGTGAGTGGGGGGGGGGGGGAGAAGGGAAAGAGGGTTGAGGGAGGTGGAACTCAACCATTCAAACAACTTTCAGATAATGTGTGGTTTGGATGTACGCACGATGAAAGGATGGATACTTGTGCAGAGACTTGTTGTGAACGACGTGGGACAGAGTTGACTACACACATATTGTCAATGGCATGCATGTGCCATCGATCTCTGTGTGTGTGTGTGTGTGTGTGTGTGTGTGTGTGTGTGTGTGTGTGTCCACCTTGATGAATGCATAGAAACAGCAAACAAAATGAAAAAAACAAACATTATAACATCCTATCTTTTCCCTTCCCTTTGCAATTTCACCCTAATAGTTGCAGAAATTGACCTCTCGTATATCCCAAAGGCGTGTTATTACATCTCTCTGTCGTATTTTATCTGCCCCCACCCCGAAATATATCCCTGTCACCCCAAACTCTTACACCCATAGCTCCCATCCACCAAAAGGAACAGACCAATTAATGAGGTTGTTCAACCAGCGTAATAACTTTCCTCCTCTGCCCAGCAGCAGCAGACCAACTGAAGAGTAATCCTGTGGTTTATTCTGGATGGCTGCCCAGCACGGACAACACAAAGAAAACCTGTAGACCAGCGGCTCTTTACTGAACGGGAGGGTTTTAAAAAGTCAAGAAATATTTTTCCAAATACAGCTATTTTGGAAAAATAGGGTGGGAAACCTACTGCTGTCAAGTATATATGATTAATATTTCTTTATACCATTTTTTTTTACTGAACAGAGAAAGAGGCATACATTCAAAGGTCCTGGTTTGATCACAATTGAGCCACTATCCCAGTTTAAACCCTGGAACATGGTCACATTTATGACTTTGGAGGAGGAGAGCAGAAAAGCAGCATTTTGTTAGAAATACAAGAAAGAAACTGTTTGACTTTTCTAAAAATAATTTTAAAAAGTCTGTTTTGGGACATAAACATCAACATCATTTTAAAACCGTCTTCATCCAATAACAATGACACTTTGAGGTATTTGTAGTCACGTGCAAATAATTCAGGAACTGAGGTTTCTCAGCTGAAACTGTTGGATCATAACATCTATAGCATCTCAAAGAACAAAGAATCTTAGAGATGGTAAAAAAAGGGGATGACAACAAAACAACGCAACAAAAAAAACCTTGCAGAAATGCATATCACTCACTGTCTTTCATGGGTTTTAAACAAAATGTCTCTTATGATAAGGAGAGACAGGGTTTGAGCAGGTTTGGACAAATGTAGTCAATGATGATCTCATACATTTTATTCTGGGAAGGAGGACCTGAGATCAGATCTGAGCTTAATGTTTGTAAAATAAATTGACGTCTGGAGATTTTATTCAAAGAGTTTCACTAAAATCTGTTATAACATTCAGACTGTGTACTGTGAATGCCGCTAAGCTATCACACCAAGCTTTGGCTCAACGTCTGTAAACTTCACGAGAGACGTTGGTTGTCTTGGGTGATTTACTGTGGCAGCCATCTTAAATTGATTTAACACCACATTTTAATCGGACAACCACAAATTACTTTTGGATAATATAACTAAAATATGTCTAGTGGTTTTTGAGTTATATTGCTAACAGACAAAAGTTTACTTTTGTATTCAAAGTTTTAAAATATCTCTTTGGTGCCCACCATCTGTTGAGAGACTCACACTGAGCATGTTGTACCAAACTTTGTGTTTTAAGGTCCGCTCCCAGCTTGAATCAATCTGACTCCGGTTGAAACACCTAAATAATTAGTTTATGAGAATTTCATTAAAATCCCTTCAGCAGTTTATGAAATTATATTTTGCTAACAGACAGACGGATGAACGCACAGGCACCAGTGTTCAGGGGCGAGAAATAACACAGAGATAAATAGTTCAATATATTGATACACACAAAAAAAGAGAAGAAAAAGTACAACAATAGTATATTGCATATAATAGATATCTATTTTCTTCTGTTTATATATATATATATATATATATATATATATATATATATATATAAAAAAAACAGGTCCCTTTGTGAATGAGTCCTCGTGGCTCAATGAGACCAGCCTGTATAAATAAAGGTTGAATGAATGAAAACAAACATAAAAAGTAAAACTAAAAGTGCAACGTAAAAACGGATCAGATTATTAACTCTTGTAAATAGCAGCAGGTAACTCCGCGCGCTCCACGAGACAATAAAGAGCAGTTCAGGACACGAGGCTCCATCTAGCTCGTACTGTTCAGATGTGTGTGTGTGTGTGTGTGTGTGTGTG